GAGAGAGAGAGAGGGATATGCAGGGAGTTAGAATTTCATTTTCTTTATTTTTTACCATCACCTTAAGCAGTTAGATAAACCCCTGCAGTTTACCTCAACCCAAACTTATCAAGGTGTCCATGTCTCACCAATTAACTGGATTCTGCTACAGACACAATATACACCTCCGCCGCATTAATAAGAGCATTGATTAATCATTTGCTCGACAGGGCCTATAATTAGATGAACAAAGTAACTAAATGATACAATGAATGCATCACTCACGGAAATCGATTTCAGAGGAGTAATTATCCAACGAACGAACATATTTTTTTTTTACAAAGCAAGGAATGAACATATTTATATCTAAAATATGCATCCATTCAGGTCACTCAAGTTCCTTGTATCAAATGGGCAAACCACCCTAGTTTTTCGCTTGCTTTAAGTATTCCATAAATTTTATTGTAAGTTAAAAAAAATAAACAAATATTAAACACTTCCCCCAAAAAAAAAAAAGATAAACTTTACGAGTTCCCCATAGAGTTATCACAAGAAAGTCACTCATAGAAGCAAGAAATGACTTCATTCATGTCATAATCAGAAATCACTATTCATGAGTGCCCTCTCCCTCAATCCATCCATCCCTTCCTCTAATATGTAACTCTAATCAGCCTACAGTTTCTTCAGCTTATTTCCCGAAAGGCATGTGACAGTTGTATTGGCCCCTACTTTGAAATTTTGGAAATATACTTAGACAAAGATGGGAATATTAAAATTTTACACATTTCAAATAAACTACAACATGTAAATATAACTTGTCATGATATGTTTAACAGCATATCATATCATCATTAAATGTCACTACTGCATGAATCAAACATTTTCAGATAAAAGTACAACTAAGTCTGCACACACTAGTGGGCTTAAGTCAAGTGATCCATGTGTTATTGGACAAATTATCATGTGTTTCTAAAGTCCATCTAGATCACCACATAATCACACAAAAATGACTCCATAAGATATATAACTTAGAGAAGTCTTAATATTAGAAGCATAGGTCCAGTAGACTGTATTTTCAGGAAAATTTGATGGATCGATGTGAACTCACCGAATCATGAGTTAAGTAAGTATCGCAATAGTCGCAATAGTACCTGCATTGAAGAGCGCATGATTGTTAGCCAAGTGAAAATAAAAAAAAAATTTCCAGCAAACTAGACAACAATTCAACTAAATTGAAGGACAGTAAAGAAACAAAGAAGTAAAACACACCTTGGCATGTTGCCTATAATGAGTCAAAGCACTTCAATTGACCAAATAACTATGAGCTGAGGATTAAAATGTACAGAATCGTCGGTGCTAGGCAATCCTGACGACCAACCTAAGTGACAAATCCATTCCATCAATCATATAACAATAACAGCTTAAAGAAGATAAGAAAATGCAAAGTGCCATTAAAATTAGCGCACAACATCTATGAATGAATAAATCATGATATCTTCTTCCATTTCTTCAACTTCTTTTAATCATTAGTCTGATTCTTTAACCAAATAAGGTCACAAGATAACTGGTTAAAGGGCCTCAAAAGAAAAAAAAGTACAGAGAACTCCAAAGAAAACAAAAGCATTTATTACCCAAAAAAGACCTCCATATAAAACAAAAGCATCCATTATAAACAATATTTCACAAACTCTCTATCACTAGACCATAAAGAAGCAACGCCAATAAACCATGAAAACCCTAGTTCTCGAGAACTCCAATAATCGACACAAAAATTCTCAAACAACTCCCTACATATGGATAAATGGAGATTTTTCTTTGTGCAAAAAAAAGCAACACACATATGTCATTGGCAAAAGAAAATAAAAATCGCTACAACTTTTGCAAAACGAAATAAGTATTATAACGATCATGAAATAACAAGATCATGGAAAATACCCGGAGAGTTTCAGTAACTGACTCTTAAAAGTGGTGATTTCGCCCGATGTTTTGATTCAGAGAGAAAAATGGAGCAAGGATTTAAAGTTGAGAGAGAGAGAGAGAGAGAGAGAGCAGTGCACTGAAAAATAGGGCTTTTACCAAATAGGGGACGTGTCAAGAGAGAGCGAGAGAAAAACCGATATTTTGGAGAGAGTTCTCGTTCGTCCTTCCAAACAAACGGAAGGGTAATAGCGATATTTTCTGGGAAAGCAAATGCATGGAATAGAAAAAATAATGTACGGTGATCCAATAGCTATCGTGGTGAATGTTACGGCCGTTTATCTTCTTACAAAAGGTTCACAATCTTCCCAAGCCATCAGATATGAATTAGAGTGGCTGAGGCTGTGTACTATGGAAATTTTTGCGAGGCTTATGAGCATTGCGGTATTTGTGGGCAGATCCAGAGGTAACAATCTCTTTGTGTACAATCTCAAAACTCAAAGGAAGTTACTTAAGAAATGAATTGTTTATTTTGAAATTAAAAAATGAAAAAGTTTATATAAGGTTGCAACCTTAAAAATGTAGAATTAAGATGTATCTCAAAAATCCATTACAAAATATTGTTTTGATGTTGGAAAACCCTCAAACTGATGATCTCAACATCGAGATGCATGATTACAAAAAGAGAAAAAGATTTCCAAGTCATAAAAACAATATATTGTATAACACGTTATTTGGACCGTCCATTTTCAATATTTTCAATTGTTTATAGATCTATTTGATTTAAACTATTTTTGGAGTTTGAGATTTTATAATTAGAGATGAACATAGATTCTCAAGTTATCCTATGAGTTTTTGACACAAAAACTATGTTTATGATAAGATTTGGAGGTGCGCCTTTTTTATGTGGAAAAGTATACAGAGATTATTTATTTTAAGTTTGAAATTGGTCAATAGAACAATTGCAGCCACCCAACTTTACATCCAATGGTCAAGATTAGTGTGATCACCTTGTACAAAAGGTAAATGGTCTTATTCTATACTTTACCTTCTCTAAAATACTCTCATTAGTGTTCAAACTCAAATTTTCTTTTCCAAGTCAACCATCGATCCGACACCTTCGAATTTTGAAATCATTATTTAACGTGAAGTGCAAAACTCGTTTTTCACTAAAAAATAAAAGTATTATAATGGATTTGACATTAACTTTTTCAACAAAAAAAATAAATAGTGTTGAACCTACTTTACACTTTTTTTTTTTTTACAATTGAGACAATTTTTTGCTGTCGAGAGAGAGCAAACTATGTTAGGTGAGTATGGCCATTAAAGGTGTTATGAGTTATGAGTGCTTGTAATAAACATTTTGATATGATAGAACATGAAAATGGGAGTGTAGTCATGTGTGGACCATATTAAGCAAACAATATTTGCTGATACTAAACTGAGCTTGACGAGCTATGCCACTCAGTTGGGAAAAAATTATGTTACCTGTGCATAGAAAACTATCCGATAAGGGTTCTAATAGATCATCCCTTGATAAGGTTGGAGTATGTTCGGATGAGTGAGCCGAGAGACTATCTGACCCGTATGTATGATGGTAGCTTTAGAGACGATGGGCCAATGCCTCATCCGCAAGTCATCACACAACATGCATATATGATAGTCGTTTGAAAAAGCAAAGCACCTTTCAAGATAAAACTTATGCATATGCGAGAGATACCCCTTATGCGTCATAATAGTTGTGGTTGCATCAGGTTATAGGTGACCCTCGTATGTTTACAGGGGAGAACTGAAATTCACAAACTAGGATTACGACCTCTTGGCTCATCGATCAAACTTTGGTGACCCATTAATAAGCCCTTACGTGGACTGTGGGTCATGAAAGACACTGGGTCGGTTTGATAAAGCAAGTGAGTACCATAGTCCACAGTTGAAGATGGAGTGCTCCAGTGCTTATTTATTTAATTCATATACTATCAGGATCATTTTATCATATAATGAATTTGATTATGTTTGTTTTAATGATACATAATTTTTAGAATTACTATTTGAATTTTTTTAAATATCTGGATATTTTTTTATCAAATTTGGATTTATAAAAATATAGATATTGATTTTAGATTAATTTAATTGTTCATATTGGATTTTATGAATTTCAAAAAATCATATAATTTTTCATTTATTTATTTGTGCATTGAATGTCAATAAACATATGGGCCCACCATTGCAATGTGGGTGGAGCCTATGAGTGCCACCTAAGGTAGCATGCCCTCTAAGGAGCTTTCCAATTTTGTTGGATCAAGCTTTGGCTTGAAGAAAAAAAGGTTTGTGATGTTTTGGAAAGCTTTTGTCTTGCAGAAGCTTTGAATGGATTTTTAGAAAGCATGAGAAGGCTTATGCATAATTTTGGTAAATATATTATTATGAATGAAATTATTTTATTTAATTTCTATTGATATCAAAATAGTTTAGGAAATGGGGATAAAGGTTCCAGCACCTTCCATGATGTTGATGTCCATCTATGGAATGGAGAGCTTAAACCTTTCATCCCACAAGTCACCTAATATCAATGATTCATATTCGATCTCAAGCAAAGGAAAACCCTAAAAAATCATAATTTTGTTCAAACACTATAAAAAAAAGATTAATCACTACCCAAATATCTACGTTATCTTTTACACCTAATTTCCATATCTCCCTCTCACATCCCGCAAAGGGGGAATGCCCCACTTAGAATATTTATTTCTATTAAAAAAGTTTATCTCTCTCTCTCTTAAGAGACCCAAAATGGGCACACCCCACTCTCTCATCTTTGATATCTCTCTCATGATCTCTCATCGCTCATTGTGGTTTTAAATTATAGGGTTGTGGTAGAAAAAGAAAAGCATATATCTCAAACTAGGTTGCCACCCAATGGTTTAGGATTTGTAATAGAAGAGTTCATTGTCCCATCATAGGGTTTGACCTAAACTTGCTTTCCCGGTTAAGATTGAAGGTTGATCGTTGATCCCACACAATCGGATGGTGATGACTTGGTGTGGGGCGTAATAAGCCCAATTGAGATAATATCCGGTACTTTATTTTTGTTTTTTATCATATTTAATTTTGTTTATTGCCATATTTAATTATATTGTCTTTATATTCACGAGCATATAGTTATTTTTTTTGTTTAAAGAAAATTGGTTTAGTAGCATCGAGGTTTTTAAGATATTAGATTTACTAGTTTTAATTTTTTTGAATCTAAGAGTTATTGTAATAAGACTACTTGTAAGTGATATTTATCAAAAGAAAAGATAACAAAAATAAAAAGAGGTGAAAAAAAGAAAAATAAGAAAAAAATTATCCCCCGACAAGATATTTTTTTCAAACTACACTTTTGCTCCCTCAAGCATAACCCAACCTAGACTCAAACAACCTATTTTAAAAATAAAAAAACAATGCATTCATTGTGAGGCTGGAAAAAAAACCTCCTGAAGTTGAATACATACTATCCAATCTTCAGACAACCATATCTAAGTGTTAAAAAAACTCAAAATTAATTTATTTTTTTTTAATGATCATTTGGTGAATTTTAAATAGATTCCAAATTTTAGATCTGAATATCTTCCTAAGATCATTTTCCTAAAAGCATTTTTATCCAAAGGAGTAAGCGGACAATATGGTCCATGAGAGCATAGTATATCTTTGTAACCTTTGAAAAGATAAGCCTCATGTGGGTGGGAGACTTCTATACAATGCCTATTTTTTGAAAAAAAAGAAATTTAATTGAAAGATATGTATTTTTGGCACTTCAAGGGTTGAAACCCACTTGAAATAAGGGATTCAGCACTCGAAATACCAATAAAAAATATAAATAAATAAAAACTCAATACTTCAATTGCAAGTGCTACACCAAGGGGAGTGTATTTTGGGTAAAAGATGTTGGTAAATAAACGGGACTTGAGCATAAAATATGAAAATATGGCCTATTTTAAATTTTAAACTTAAAATGGTATTTTAATGTTAATTTCCCTATTTAAAATTTTAAAGAAAAAGTTACTTAAATGTCATATTTTTAATAATAAAAATGAATGTATGTGCATTTGACGCAATATTTTACATCAAAAACTTTGGGAAACAGTCATGGTTCGGTAGTTGAAGATCGAAACCGATATTATTGGCTTGGTACTTGAATTACCTACCAAGTTCTCTGTGATAATGGCACTCCAAATGTTAGATCGCCTTATTAAAGAATATACCGTTTTTACGGGAAAATCCACTAGTTCTTCGTTGAAAGACCTCTTCTGAAATTTCCAATTTGCATTCCACATGGAAAATACCATGACCTCTCCCTTCTCTTGCTTTGCCCTGTTACAATTGCCATTTTTTTTAAGTCTGTTTTATTATTTTCCAACGTCTCGCGTTGACTCATTTTATCTTAGTTCTTGTTTGGTTTCATTGATTAATTCCCAAAAGTGTTTCGGATAACGGTTTGCCTCAGAACTGCATAAGATCAGACCCGAATAATCTTGGCCTGATTTGATTCCCGACCATGATCTTGGCCAAATACGACTAATATTTGTATTAAAACCTATTTTTGTTATAAAGTCATTGTTTTCAAAATGATTTAAGGTCCTAAATTTATTCAACTATGAATTAGTGGGTAATCGGCTTAGCCCACTTGTCCGATTTTTTAAATTTAAAAGTTGAAAGATCATATCACAAATTCCAAATATTTATTTTTTTCACCTTGAGCTTCATCAATGACAGAATTTAGCCTATTATTTGTCATTATAAGCCATATTAAATGATTTTATTGCATACTTTTCCTTCTTATATGCATGATCCATGAATTACTAGTCAAAGTAACTATGTCAGCGGCCCACATCACATAGAAAATTAGGATAATTTTTTCTCTCTCCTAACTCTATTAATTCAATGGATAATCTCCTAAATGTTGGACCGCGTGTCATCATCGAAACATCGGATGTCAAAGACCAAATCCCTCACGCTTCACAATCCTTCAATTCCTTCTTCTTTTTTTTTTTTTTCATTGTATGTTTTTAGTAACTATTGGGACCGATGTTCCCAAACTCGGCCGGTCCAACTCGGAACTCGCCAATTAAACCGGAATAGGGCACTAGCTGATCCGGTTTCGACTGATTTTGATAGTCTGGTTGGGTAATTTAATATATATATATATATATATA